GAAATGGTTTAATGGCTCCATAAAAGGCACTCTGTGCTGATAGCTGAGATTAGACCCTTTAGTAATGGATTTTTGTGTGTTGGGGGAAGGGGAGGGCTTGGCAGAAGTAAATGTACTGGAAAAGAATCTTGGAGAGACTCTGATGTATCTGAAGTGCCTGCTGCATTGCTGTATGTATCGAGAGAGAGATTTAGAGTGTGACACTGTTGCCTTTATCAGTACAGGGGCCTTTCCTTCTTGCATTTGAAATTTTACCAAGTATTATCTTGGTTCACCTCAGTCAGTCTAGTACCTGGAGTTGTAGTGGTATCAACTTAAGTATTTTTATGTCTTCTGTCTTTTCATCTTGCTGTTGAATCAAGTCCCCTATATTCAAGTATGTTCAAGAAATCTCTCAAAACTTACATTGCATATTAACCATTTTGCCTTAATTGATGATAAAAATTAGTGAGTTTATTTACAGAATTGTGTTTAGAGAATGATTTGAGAGCATAAATTTGAAAAACAGCTCAGAAACAGCGTGTTTAGGCCATGACTTACTGTTACTTTCTTTTCTCTTCAGGTACTCAAAGTCCTCAAACATAATACATGTGAATATAGTATTAATTAGGTGACATCAGAGTTCACTATCAGGAGCAAGTGTGGTACAAAATCAACTGCTGTCAATTGATTTTATACCATATAGTAAATGTTCTTGACCCACAAGTGTGGATAGGACATCTTTGTCTCTTTGGTCAGTAGTGTAAGCATTGCCTGCCATTAGCCAACATCACTGAATTACCAGTTATATTTCGTGGCTTTTTAAAGTATGTTTAAAACCATTCTTTCTCAGAAATCAGATTTTATCATGTGTTCTGGGCAGGAATCTGAAGTTTGAAAGTTAAAATGTTACTTTTTGTTCAAAGGAGAAATGACTTGCCATTTCATATAACATATTCCTAATTTCTTCTTCATCTTGAATAGTCATCTCTTGAATTGAAAAATATTTTAAGCCATTGCTTAATGCTGTGTATTTCAGGGCTTTCTCAAAAGAAGTAGATTCAGTTCTGTTTGTACAGAGGTGGTACACTTCCTGTTTCTCAGGCTAGAAAGTGTACGTATCAGACTCCTCTGAGACAAACCAATTCCTCCTTTGACTTCAGAGTTCTTGATAAAATTGTTCTTCATTTGAGAGGTGTGGTTCTTCATTCTTTGGGTGTTATTATGAACAAAATGTTCAGGGATTAGGCTGTTGACAGATAGCAAAGTAGAACAGCACTTCTGAAGGATGGATGGCAGGTTTCACCCCATGCTTTTGCATGTTACATGTGAGCTTACTTTGTGGTGAAATCATTACGGCTTTGTATAAAATCTAGTTCTGTACAGCAGCACATTATGTATAATATGCAAGCCCTTTTACTCTGCAGATATAAATAGACATGTTTATGCACAGAGAATATGCATACAGTAATTTATTATACCTTCATCAGTTTGCTACAAATGGCAGCAGTCATGCTTGCCTTATATCTGTGTGTTGGCTTTGGAGATGCTCCAGACAGGGTCTGTGGGGCAAGGGTCTGTTTCTGATACTGATAAGCCTGACTTTGCGTGGTAGATGAGATGAGGTGTTGAAGCCATCCATCTAAATACACGTTGTAAGATTGTTTGCCTTTCAAGTTCGGAGGTAGTTATCTGTAAGTAATCACTCGGGATGAAATCTTGGCCCTTGGTCACTGTTTAATAAGACCATTATTAAGGCAGAGAGCCCCTTACTTTAATAGGGTTGAGACTCTTGTTCTGGGGTTAAGTAAAATGAATTTACCATCAGGAAGAAAGAAGTGGTAAGGAGATGGTTGTTTAAAATGGCATTTTGTTAATATGAATGTGTTGGTAGCTGGTATGCTGCACTAAAATTAGATTGTATAAATAAGCAACCCTGCTCTCCTCAAAAGAAAGAAGATTGAGAACATAATATAAAATCCAGTTTAGCAAAAGAGTGTATGTTTAAATTCTCTTTTAATAGGTGCACTATAGAATGAGTGTCACACTAAAATCAGAAGTGACGGGCAGCGGGTTTCAGTGATGGTATGAAAACCGCTTTGAATGTTTGAAATTGTATTGTTAAAATAAGTCTGTCATCTTCAGCCACACTTAAGACATGTCCTGAAAGGGCAAGTAGCCTTCAAGAAAGGCCCCCAAAAAGCAGTAAGTATTTTTATCAGCCTATCTTTTTTCCTTTCTACCTCTAAAAGTGGAGTTACAGATAAAGCTTAGCATGGTGACTGTGTCAGGGGACTGCCCGAGGAAGGCTTTAAATTTTACAGCTACATTATCTTTCTGGCTGTAGTTAAGATAAAGATCTAATATAAAATCACTTTGGTCTGTAATGCTTTCTCTAAATGAAGTGAAGGTGTTAACCTACTTGATTTGATACACTTTACCCTAGCTTATAAAGCTGGTAGGAAGGTGAGGTAAACTTTAATTAAAACTACAGCACAGATGCCTTCTAGCAGTGTGCCCTGTACCTTGCTAGGACTGTACAGTAAGCAAAATAAAATGTACCTCGCAGTTGAGGCAGCAGGCTGGAGCCGTGTTCAGTGAAAGTAATTTAATTAGTGTTGATCATGACTCCAGATGATGGTGATTTGATAAGGAATAATTTAGTACTTAACAGCCTTTTACATGCACCAACTCCATGTGGGAAGGTAAAGCAAATTGCACAAAATGAATGTGCTGCTTTCACTTGTGCTTGTGCCAGTGAGCTGGAAAACTGCCTGTTAGCAGACGTTCAGGCTCTCAGCGCTGTGATGAAATACCCAGCCAGTTCTCCGCACAGGGCTGTAGTGTGGGAGTCTCTGTACTCCCGTTATTTAAAAATAAATAAGGGAAGTAATTTTTCATAACAGATTAACTCCAAGGAAGTAGCAAAGTAAAAAAAAAAAAATAAAAAATAGAGCAGCATGTGGCCTTTGTGCAAATATGTGATACTGGCTTTAAAAAAGTGTCTTGTTGCAGTTGTGTTTTAATTTTTTGATTCAAGTTAAAGAGATTGCCTACCTTAGCTTTGGAGCCAGCATCCCAGAGTTGTGGGGCCCATCGTATACATTAAATGTATATGCATGCATTATTTGACCAGACATACAAAGGAGAGTCAGCAGTAAAAGTTCACTAGAAGCATCCTGAAACAAACTACTGGATATCAGCCTGCTTTGTGATTGCTTTGGAAAACTGACTGAGCTGCATTTTGCCATGTTATTAAGTCTGAGAATCATTTTTCAAGAAGTCTATGTGGGCTTTTTTTTAGTGCAAGTTCAAACAGTTTTATTCAGGAAGAATTCTTTTCTTCTTGTGATGTTCACATTTTCCATCTCTGTTTCCTAAGTTGTTGTGCTGTGCATATGCATTTCTATATGTTTTATTGTCTGCTTCTCCTTTCTAATCTTTCCACATAACTGGTATTGTCCACAAAATATAATAGCTGAATAGAAGTTTTCTGCTAACTCTTGTGAGTTTTGTGAAAATACGTGTCAGAATAGAATAGTGTTATGTTGCAGATGACTCAACTGAAAGGCAGTAGTAGAAGCTGTCATGTAATAGGGTATGAGAGGATCTATTTGTGAAAGAGTTCTCTGAACATTGCCTAACCATGAGAAAACCCAATGCAAAAGCCTGGAATCCAGACCTTACTCACAGATGCCAGAGTTTAGTGGTCCTGATGCTCACTTCTTAGCATTTCATTTATCTCCCCACTGAACCCTGGCATGTGTATGCAGATTCATTAGTATCAGAAGATATGTAGTCTAACAAATCTTCTTTCCCAAGTTCAGGTGCAAGAGAAGGCGTAAGATGCTACTTGATGGTATTCAATGATAGCCTGGCTTTTTGCTGAGATTCCCTAACAGGAACTGCTGCATGTACGTGGATTTTTATGGAGATACAAGTGTCTATGTCAGGCTGGAATGTGATGTTCATACTATGGTGTTTTGGTGACAACATCAAAGATAAAATTATCTCTGAATTCTAGGCATCTTGGAGTTCAAAAATGCATTAACAACCTCATTTTATTTAAAACTTGAAAGGCGTGTTTTCAAGCTGTTACATACCTGTCTTTTAGTCCTTTGTCCTTCTAGCCACTTACTCAGGTCTGTCAGTGTCAGGTGAACTTTGAATTTTCTTCTGCTTTAATTTTGGTTAAGATTGGATATGAAATAAGGAAAGTTCTCTGGTGTAAACTAATTTACTGGTTAACCTTGACTTTACTTTTGGCCTTTCCCTTAGTACAGACCACCTTGTGCTTCTAATTAATACTGCATTTCTGTCACACCCCCTCTGGGGTTTTTTTTTAGCTTTTAAAAAGTATGACTTTTTTTTTTGTTTGTGTCTATATCACATCTACTATTGAATTTCATCAGGCCAGGATTTTATCTTGTTTATTTTTAAGAAAAATTATTTAAACCATTTATTCTGATTTTTAAATTATGTTATTTATAATTAAAAGTGCATATATTCATCCAGTTTCAAGGGGTTTCACTGCAAATTTTCAAGCATTCTGTGGGATGAAAACATTACTGATCATACACTTGAGGCTGATATATCTTAAATTTATTTTGGAGTTGTTTGTGTGACACTCTTTGAAGTGGACTACTATTGCATTTATAACTAAAAGCAACCTCTGATATTACTTAGAAACATTTGGTGCCTGGGAAGTATTTTGCCTCTGACAACATTTACAGTAGTTAAGCCAAATATAAGTGGGCTGTTATTTTCCTGCTAATGAGATGGGATGCTGGCCATCATTCTATTAAACAATAGAAGTGATAATAGCCAATGTGAAGGATCTCTGGTGTCTATTTTTCAGTTGACACTCAAAGAAATATTTGAAATGTTTATTTCCTATATTGTTTTTATTATTAGAATTGTTTAATTAATCATGTGTTTAATTAACAGTGTCGAGCTTACTTGGGAAAGCTAATTGTTGATATTGTACTTGGGTTTTAATTGCATTCTCCTTCTCTTTCCAGTGGCTTTTCATGGTCTCCCTGTGAAAATCAAGAAGGAACCCCATAGCCCATGTTCGGAACTTGGCTCCGCTTGCAGTCAAGAGCAACCATTCAAGTTCAGTTATGGGGAAAAGTGCCTGTACAATGTCAGGTAAAGTAATTAGGAGCATATTTGCAGTGAGAACTGCTGGCTTAAATGAGGACTGACGAAAGAGTAATAAAACCATAAGAGAGATCTTAGAAAAGTTACCTCTTCAGCAGATAAGAGACTGATGAGATAATGCATTTAGCTGATGAACACTGATGGATTTGTTTACAGTTGTGTCAAACACTTACATAATAATTTTAAAGCAGTGTTTTTCATCAAAATGCACATCTTCCGTTCCTCCTCCATGGGAGCTAGCCAGAGTTTAAAAACCCAGGGTACAAGCATGAAATAGAAGAAAGGAATATCTTGTGTTGAAAGTACTTTCAAAATGCATTATGTGCATTAGGAAAGAGAGATCTGTGTAACAGGCAAGGGATTGGCAGGTCTGAGCAACACATTAGGTATTTGACAAATTGTGCAGATGTTGTATCTGTATATTCCTGGGTGATTACCTTTTAAAACAGTGTTTCATTAGTTGCATTCAAAAGCAAGTTGTCTTCTTTTATAGGCATAGATAATAAAAGCTTTATTTATTTGTGGGTGGTGGAGGGGCTTGATACCTCTTCATTCCTTATTGACTTTCTTTTGGTTGCATTTACATGTTACTCCTTTCTTTAGTGTCAGCAGTGAAGGATTTCTTATTGACATTTCAGTCTATTTTAGAATCTTTCATCTAGCTTTGATTCTCATCAATGTAGTATGAAAACTGTTAGCACTTAAAGCATTATAGCATTTAACTTTTTGGATATGAATGGGGTAAAAAAAGGAAAAGGCTTTTTTTATTTTGCCAGTTATAAGGAGTGATTTTGGTTTCAAAAATCAAATGAATCTGTTGATGGATTTGATGGGTGCTAAGGGACCTGATGCAGAAAAGCATGCAAGCTTGTGCTTACTATATTCCTAATGTCTGCATTTCTCCTGGTTAGAAACAGGGATGATCAAAGTGTTCTCAAGTCCTTTCCTGATGTGAGACACCCTTGAAAATAGCATCTATGTATTTGTAGGACCAGCAGTTTGAGAGAGAGAGGGGTAAAAAAAACTGTCAGGAGAGGCTGCTGACATCCTAGTATGGGTAGCTAAGCCAGCATACCATTGTTTTTCTGGGTCAGATCACTTCCCTCTGGCTGTATTGTTTTACTGTCTCACTTTGTGGTTTGTGCAAAAGAAAAAGAGCCTTGACAGGCACTGTCAGCTCTTTGTGCTCTAGTCCAGGTGCTTCTAATTTTATGTATTTTGTATACCTCCTGTTAGAATGTGACTGTAAGACTGAGTCCTTTAAAAATACATTTCTGTGTCTCAGAGAAGCAAATGCTGTGCTGAATCACTTGCCTCTAACATGACTTCTTCATTGCTCTTCCTAGGGTAAAGTTGAGAATTCTTCTGCCCCAAACTGATTCATAAGTTAACTATAATCAAAAGCTTCTAAATGGGGCACTTGTGGTGACTTTTTTTCTGGATGTAGATGCTATGGTTTTGGTTTTTCTTCTTTCTTTGGAAAAAATAACCTACCTTGCTTTTCCCTTGCTTTACTAATAGTGCCTATGATCAGAAACCACAAGTGGGAATGAGGCCCTCCAACCCACCGACGCCATCCAGCACTCCCGTGTCGCCGCTGCACCATGCCTCCCCAAACTCCGCTCAGACTCCTAAACCTGACCGCGTTTTCCCTACCCACCTCCCTCCATCCCAGTCCATTCCAGACAACAGCTTCCCTATGGATCACAGGTAAAACACAAAACATGGGAAGGACCCATGCAGAAGGTGTTTCTGTTGTGGCTCTTATATAGGGTAGTACTGGCTTCCTGCCCACCACTCTTCCCTTTTAGGTTGGGAGATTGGGTGGAAACCAGCAAGGTTGGTAGTGTCAGAAATGTGTGTGCTTATGAAAGGCTGGCACCCAGCTTGGTGCACTAGTGTATGAGTTCATATTGGCAGTGACTGAATTTAAATTACATGTTGGTTCTGTCTTGTGAGGGTGGTTACAGTATGCTGGATAATCTCATCTAGCCTCTCTTTCCCACGAAAGGTTGGTCCCGACGGTCTTTCAAGGTCTCTTCCAACCTGGGCTCTTCTGTAGTTCTGTGATTCACTTGAGGCTAGAAAGCCCTTCAAGGTGATGAAGTCACTAGCAAGCATGTTCCTAACTATAAATATCTGGCCTCTCGCTAAGCAGTTCACATATCTAAGGGATAAGTGGCTATGTTACAGTGTTCCTTCTTCAGAATATTCTTTAGGAGGGTGGATCATTTTTCCAAGCCCTTCTGTAATGTAGCATTTCAAAAAAAGATGCCAACATAAACTGTGCTTAAATAACATTAGTCTGAGTAAAAGCCACAAGAGTTAGAAACTAGAATTAAAGCTTAAACTGTCCTTAAGTCACCCTGTTTTGTTTTGATATCTTAGAAATCCCCAGACAACTGTCTTAGCTCAGTTTTGCAACAGATATGTTCAGTGGATTTCCCTGTTTTTTCAGTCCAAGCACTTGTTTGTGGAATTCTATTTACCCTAGCCTTTATTGCATGAACCTGTTTTTGTACGCTGAGTTTTGATTGCTCTCGAACATTTAAAATTCCAATGGTGTGTAAAGAGATATATGTTCAGAAACTTGTTTTACCTCTTAACCATTATCAAGTTAAGAAAGACCTGAAAAGAAAAACAGTTGTTGGGAGTGTGATTTGCATGTTTCTGCTCTAATAAGGGCTGTTATCTCCAGGGATTTGTGCAGATCACTTTTGAAGGAGGTTGCTAACGTTAATATTGCTGTTTTGTGCTCTGCTGAGATAGCTTTAAATACCCCCAAGGCTCTCTACAAGCCCTTCTGGCCATCAAGAAACACTGAATTGTCCCCTTCACCTGTCATAGTCCCCATCTCCTCCCCAGCTGTGGACTGTGGTCTAGCCACAAAGGCCCCCAGTGAAGGCAGGCAGTGGTTTGGATTACAGGAGGGTGGATAAATGTGTTCCTGTACATACACCAAAGTCAAGCTGCAGTATTTATAGACATTTGCATACATCCTAGTATAGTTTCTGTACCCACAACTATTGGAGTCCTTGCTCTGTGCAAGCTTTGTAGGTTCTTTACATAATTTCTGCTCCCTCCCCATCTCTGATACCCATGTTCTTTAGGGCATTTTGCCCTAATCTTCTATTATAGAACATCATGTGTTCTAGTAAAGTCCAAAATAGCTGACACAAGGAAGAAAAAAAAATCATCTCATTTTTCTCCATTTTTAAAGAAAGGTGGAACTGTAGTGGGAGATATTTTTTTCCCCGTTTTCTTATTTATTTTGAATCTTGTGTATGAAGCAAACATGTACTTCGTATTTTTCTGAAATTCAAATTTTTGTGATTTACAAGGTGAGATACTCGTAGAATGAATGTATTCAGAAAATGTCACTTAAACAAATGACCTGCCTATGTGAGTTCATATATGCATTTATAACTCAAGGCACAGTGTTTTTGGAACATGCATTGGTGGCACAAGATAGCATTAGTATCTAGTACATACAGCCCATACATCTTCATACAGGGCATGAGTATATGAACGATAAGTGGTCCTAACAAGTACCAACAGGAAACAAATCCACTTGTATAAACAAATGGCTTGATTCCATACAAAGCTTCCAGTACAACAAGTATTATTAACTTCCTTTGAGGCTTTGTGAGTGAGCCTGTTTCTTATTTTATCTTCAAGTTGCAATTTTCTGATTCACTCCTTGACAGTTCTTAATGATAATTTCTGCTTCTTTTTTTGGCTAATGAAAAAAGGAAAAAAAGGAAATGAATGCAGTGCCAGTCAGCCTAACTGTTTCATAATACATTTGAGTTTCTAAGTTTATTTTCTGCAGGTGTAGGTGGAATTGCAAACCCCAATGTTACAGCACAGTACTCTTTCTACTGCAAAAATTATAGTATTTACAGCAGCATTGGAAAAATTCATTTTGTCTCCACTACTGCATGGTAATAGTTTCTATCTCTGTAGTTTCCACAGTATTTATAATTAAGCTATGATAGTAAATATTTGTCAGAACAAGTTACAGCAGTATTATGACAGATGGTAATAGAGTTTAAATTGTTGTAGAAATATGTACTACCTATGAGTTGATAGTCAAGGGTTTATTGCTTGTGCAATCAAACTCCTGCATTGTACTTCACTCACACAGTTTTCTCCAAAAGAAAGTCTTTTGCTTGTGTGAACCAAAGCTGGTTCAGACCCGAAGTACAAGAAGCTTAGGAATGATTAGGTCTCCATTTTTCTTTTGTGTGACAGTAAGAAGCTTCCAAAGAAAGGCACAAGTTTTTTGGTTTTTTTTTTTTTTTAAGTGTCTTGTTTGTAATAAGTGCTAACAGGACTAGTAAACAGTTTGTTGCAAGAGCATTGCATTTGCTGTTGGTTAGTGTGGACACAATATTACTGCTGTGGTGATTACTACTGTGGTAATCACAGTAGTATCTGCAGGAGATAACTGGAAGACATCATGCAGTTCATCAGGGTCCAGTGGGAAAAAAGCATCCTGGTATTCTTCTGTATGATTCTGAACCTGCAGATGTCCAAGTAATTACATTCAGGCCTTTTAGTTCAGTTAGATAGGTTTTATCTAAGAGAAAACAAGCATAGGCTCTTGAGAGTAGCATTTCATGTAAAACAAGATAATTTGAAATGAAATTCTCTTCTTTTTTGCCTATTGAAGAGCATTTGGGAATACCAAATGGCAGTGTGGCTTGTACAGATTACAACTTTCATGTAGAAATAACCAAGGGGAAAAGTTAAAGCAGGAGGGTAATTAATTGTCCTAGCAAAAGTTTGCACCCTCTCCTTTTATGGGGGTGCTGACATTCCCTTCCTGTTACAGCTGGAGTGCAGTGACATCCTTGTGAATTGATCTCTCACAACACTACCCCTGAGAGGACAGAACAGTGGACTTTTACCCTGGAATGTTTCCAAATGTTAGAGCAGACAGCACTCTATAAAAAATGTGTTTCTTGTGGTCAGAATGATTTCTGTGTAGCAGTAAGATGGGTGAGAGTATATTAGAGTAGGAGCAAGATGTTGCTAACATTTGTGAAAGAGCAGAGAACTAACTACGCCTCCGTCATGTCACTGTGGTAGGATGTCAGTCTTTCTACTGTTTTGGAGCTGGTGCATTTCCTGTTTGCCTCTTCTGTTGAGGGAAGATATTGAAAGCAAAGAGGATGTGGTGGGGACAGGTCTTAGAGCTGGTATTAATAGGTGGGATTTTTGTTTCTTTGCTTGCCGCTGTTGTACAGTGACAGTGACCCTGATGGGAGCACTTGGCATGATCATAAGCAAAATGTTGGTTATTGAGAAAGTGATACAGCCACTAATAACGACTTCTGAAGATCTTTGGGAAATGGAACGTAGCTGGAGTCCTTTACATGACCTCTCTAATTTGTGTTCTAGATTTCGCCGCCAGCTCTCTGAACCTTGCAATTCTTTCCCACCTTTGCCTGCAATGCCAAGGGAAGGACGTCCAATATATCAGCGCCAGATGTCTGAACCAAACATCCCTTTCCCACCTCAAGGTTTTAAGCAGGAGTACCACGATCCAGTTTATGAACACAACGCTATGGTTGGCAGCGCAGCCAGTCAAAATTTCCCCCCTCCTCTGATGATTAAACAGGAACCTAGGGATTTTGCATATGATTCAGGTAGGTGAGATTCTCCTTTAGTTCTGCACAGCAAAACAATATGGGACTCCAAGCCAGTGCTATTGATGTTTTCATTGTATGAATTGAAACTTGCTCTTTTGACACTTACATCTCACAAATTATGTCTGAGAGAGCTTACAAAGTATTAAGATTGCTACATAATACAGTGTGACTCGTGCTTGCTCTTGCTCTTTAAAGGGCTTCATTTTCTAGAAATCTCTGTCCAGAAACATTAAAGAAGTCGAGGAAGAAAGTAATGGGTGCAAATTTGCTTTGTTAAGAGGGAACTTGTTTTGTACTATCTCATCTTTGACCTCTGAATTTGTGTGCTCCATTTTATGAGTTCTTCCATTTGTGTGCCAGAAATAGAGAACTCTTTCTTCTCTTGCTTGCATTACTTTAAATCAGGAGTAACTCCACTGAAGTGGGGTTTATACAGCTATAAAACCGATGAGGGAGAAGAATCGGCCAAATTGGTGTCAGCTCCTCAGTTTGTGCATACTGCTGTGTTTGTGGAGGTACATAATCTGAGATGCCAGGTTGCTGATGTAGAGAATACACTGTTGCTATTAATAATGTTTATTATGATTGTGCTTATAGGACAACTGGAATGGAACCTTATTGCTCTACAGACAGTACAAAACAGAGGAGGTGGTGGCAGAATATGCTCTCAATAGCTTCTGATCAAAATAGAAAAGAGAAGCAATAGGAAGGATAGAAAACAAGGGAATAATACTGTAAATGTTTGACAAAATTTCAACATAATATTTCTATTATACTTGGAAAAAGCATGAGAAAATTAAGAAGTCAAAAAAGAAATTTAGTAATGAGTACTAAGTAACAAGGCAAAGGAAGCTACAAAGAAGAAAGTTTGGAAAGGTGGTATGAAAAGAAGCTGAGATTAAAACATGAGGAATGCTCTAGGTGGGGTTAAACAGTTGATTGGTATGGAGCCAAGATAATGCAATCAAATTGTTGTTCAGTTTTAGTGTAAGTGATTTCTGCAGCTCCTCTTCAGTGTCTGCCTTGGTCCTGCTTTGTGCATGCTCCACTGTTGAAAGGGAGGGATTTCAGCATGTCCCAGCTGTGCTTCTGGAGGAGAGTACATTGCTTTCGTACACATCCATGATCACTTGGGCAGGGGGAATGGATGGCTCTGTCTGACTTCAGTCTGACTCCCCCTTCTTCATGATGTTGCTGTACTCCCAGGGCTTTCCTTCTAGTTCAGTCTGTAGCTAGATGCTTTTGCAGTTTATTTTCCAAAGGCTATATGACAGCTGAGTTGAAGTGTCCTTTGAAATTTCAGCTCATGCAAGACTATCTTGCAATTTGATATAGTGCAGAACAGTTTTTTTATTTTCTTTCTGTAGCTAACTTAACACTGTTTATCTGGTGGGGTATTTTGTGGTTTCATTAATGTAAAGTGCTTGTTGTAGAGTTGATCTCGATGTTAGAATGGGGGAATTTGGCAAGTTTTCCTTTCTTATTCTTAACAAGCAAAAAACCAAAGTTAGGAAAATTTGAGTTAGCCCTTAACAGGGAGGGGACCAGGGGTGAAATATTTCTCCAAGCTGAAACATAAGACAAGATGAAAGTGAAATTGAATTACAAGGATCAGATCCAGAACTCAACCCATTCATTGATGAGGGTTCTGAGATCTGTGGCTTTGTGGAGTTATGTATCTCTGGTCCTAGAGCATATGGGAGAGACTGTGTAGTTCATGTGGCAGTGGATAATAAATGGGGGACTGCAGCTTCAGGCACTGCCAGTCCCTTGAAACCTTCACAAGCACCATTATTCATCTTCCTAAATTAAAGGTCAAAAAAAGACCCTTTTGTAAATATGCTTCTTATTTGGCTCAGAAGTGGGATCTCCTTATTGCATACTGTTGCTTTAAATCTGGACTGGCTGCTAACATTCATCTTTCTTTGGAATATTCTGTATGGAAGAAAGCAGGAAATTTTATTCTGAAATGAAGATGTACAAACTTGTATCCAGTCCTGTCATGTCTATTTATTTTGTGCCAGCAAGAACAACATTCCACTTTATAATAATTATCTCCGAGCAAAATTGTTGCTTCTTTTGTAGATGAATGATTAGTTTTTAAAAATGTAATAGCTGTGTAACCAGTGGTCATGAAAAATTAATCTGTTGGTATCAGGAAGTACTTTTATTGGCCTCAGAATCACTGCATTTAAGTTGACACATCTGTACACTCCATAAATTGCAGTCAACAACTGTGGTCTGTTGATATTTTGTCTTGTTACCATCTGTTCTCCAGAAACCATCATTTTCCATCCTTGCTAAGAGTACATTAAATAACCCCTTAGGAAACATAATGTATTTGTCACTGAATCATTGATTTCATTTTTCACCTATGGATGTTCAGGGAAGAAGGAATGCCAGAGTAAAAAGTCTTTTTTTTCATTGTATTTTATTGCAGCTCAGATAAGAATATAGAAACACATTTAAAAAGTTCATTGTAATGCACTGAGATGTTCCTTTTGGGATGTTTTTGAAAGGGACTCGTAAAAGTTCATCGCTTTTGTGCACTATTCTTTTATACTTTGTGGGAAGCTGATGAATGAAAAGCATATTATAGAATGATTACAACTCTATTAAAACATGACATTAATTATGACATGGGAAATGGCAGATCAATTAGTTGTAATTGTAATTGCAGGTATGCAATTTCTACTGCAGAATAGAGATAATGGAGATGTTTGAGATAATGGAAAAAGAAAAATGTCAACAGAGTAGAGTCTCTTCCTTATCCATCCACGCTTCTAGAAGTCACAGTGCATCATATTGGTTCAATCAGACATTTTCTGTCATGGATTTTTTTTTTCCCATGTCTGACAGTCAGATGTATTTAGTACTTGATGGTAAATCTAGCAACTTTAGTCACAGATGTGCAGCCAGGGACATACAGAGCTTTGAGATTTTGCATAATTAATGAATATACTCCAAAAGGCTTCCTAGGACCTTTGTTTACAAGGCCTAATAGTGGGTATTCCTGTACAGTTAGCACTGCTAGAGTTCAGTAATATATCCAGGTACTTAAACAAAAAGGCCAAACTTGATATAGCTTGTCTCTTCTGTGCTTTGTTTTTGAGCAGGACCTTCACAGGTTTAACCCTTCTTACATGATGTAGTGTATTTGCAAATTTAGTAAGGTATGACTCTAGCTGTGTGTATATCAATTAATACTAAAAATCAAGTTTTAAAGCGACATCTTAAATTATTAAATCTTGTATTTGGTTTTGCCCAATTGTCCAATATTTGGTTTTGCCCAATTGAAAATAGTTATTTTGCAAAATTGAAACAGTTATTTTGGTTGAGAAATTTTTATAATCATGTCTTTGGAAACTGAAATTTTCTGTCTGAAAACTGTCACACAGTGGTAATGGAGATGAATAGAGGAGGAACTGTTGCTTGCATATACTACTTACTGATTGCCAGGAATTTTTCTGTTGAAATTTAGATAGATTCCATACTTCCTGAATGTGTTACAGGCATTAGCAGGGCTGTTCTCACAGTTTCATTTCAGGGTAGCCTTACAATTAATACGCTTGAATGGACTTTAGAAAATTTGGATTCTCTCCCTGTCACTTCCGAGACACTAGTCACATCACTTAAAGAATGAACTCTCCAGACAGAATTATTAGCCTCCATGTCTTTCTTTCTGAGTTGCTCATCCCTTTAATTCCTGAAGCCTCACAAGCAAATACTTTGTGTTTGCAAGTGAGAATGGATGGGGAACTGCCCCTCTGGTAAGAGAAATGAACGGAGGCCGAGAGACAAATCAGATACATAAACCTGTTTGTTTGGACACCCAATTAGAACTGGGTGATTTTTAAAATAACATTATGTACAACATATGTTCAAATCCTAGCTCCTAGGGACTTTTTTTTTGTTTCTAGATGAAGAATTATGGGAACATCAGATAAGGGTCTCAGTATAAGCAGTATAAAAATACATAATACCAAAAATCTGGCAGAAGCAATGTGGCTACTTTGAAAAACCTTGTTGGAGCTGGAATGGCTTTACTGGGACTTAAAGTTGACCATTCAGCTGTATTATCTTTTCTTTTCTCAAAAACTTCTGCCTCAGTACATAGACAACTTCCATCCCCTGTAACAAATGAAGCAGAGGCTCCTCCTGCTAAGCTGTTTGCAGCATGGCTCTCCTTCCCACAAAGAGTTTTGACCTGTGCTTTCAAGACAAGAGTGATGGAGCAAAAGGCTGTACGATATTTGCAGCAAAGGAATTGTATAAAGTTTGTGCAGGAGGTTGTTAATTATGACATTTACTAACCTCCTAAGTTTGCTCTCCTAAGGAAGAGAATGTTGGTAGCATTCTGCCATCCATGTTATAAATGTATTTACCTAACGATTAGAAACAGATTAAAATGCAAGAATTCTCTCAAATACCTGATGAAGTGTTTTTTGAAAAGCAATTCAGTGGTTATTAAGGGGGAAAAAGACCCCTAGTAGCACATTCTTCCCTAGGTGTCAGCCAATGTATTCTTAAATTTGGGATTTTGCAGAATAGCGTAAGAGAAAGTGTTGAATTGAAATTTCAAGGGGGAAAAAATATTTTTCAGGTTATATTTATTTGCAGGTTGATTCCTCCTCCCCCCACCTCCCTCCAATTTCTTTTTTAAGCAGTTTGTTATTCTATTGTATTTCTGAAGGAAAAATTTAGATATTTGGAGATGCTAGTGTGAAGAGAAAAAGTCAATTGGAGGCAGTGCTGGTTTGCTTTTTCCAGGATATTCTCTAGTACTGCATTAAATGCATTGACCAGTGCAGCATTTAAAGTGGCACAAGTCATGGTGCTTCCACTACTGTTTTTGATTATATTGGCTAATTTTTGTACCATGCTCTGAAAATACAAATTTCTGTGTGATTGCTAAGTATTATTGCTTCTATTTTTCCCCCGAGAGATTATTTCATAGACAAATAGACTTCACTGTTAAGAAATATTTCGTGATCATA